TGGCAGGTCTTCCAGGACCCAGCCAATCGGCTCATCGCGGTGCCCCGACGTCGCCAATGGCCGCTCACAAACAACTCCTGGAGAGCCAACAGCCTGCCGCCCCGGCACGTGGCTTCCACCGGGGCCCGCCCTCTTAACCCGGTCTTCGCCGCGGCGGACGGTTGTTTTCGAAGGCCGCGTTGAGAGCCCGCCTCCACCGTGCCCACACCTCCCTTGCCACCTCCACCCGGAGAGGCCCGGGTTAACCCCCTCCTCTCCAGACGCCCGCCAGCCCTCTCCCTTCCTCTACCGCTCCTGCCTTTTCGTCGCTCCCTCCCTTCTCCACTTGCCCGCTCCTTTAACCCATCCTCCCCTGAATTGTCCAGGTAGCTTCAGCGAATCCCCTTCCTCCCGGAGGGAACTGGGTCACCTGTCCTGATCAGTACCTGTTCTCTCTTAGGGTCTTGTGGGTTCCTAGAACGAATGACAGTGGCCAGACTGTAAATGCGGGGATGTGCTAGATTCGAACTAGGACGCAAGCCTGCACCAATCCGTCCTATATACTTGCAGCCCACCGGCTTCCACAAAGATTCACGCGACTCAGGAAACGGCCGCGTTTTGCTTTTCCAGTTGAAAAGCACCCAGAATCAAAACCCTCTCATCTAGTTGGGAGGGTTGGGGGGCAGCAGCTACCCTCACTGCTAATTTTGGAAAGACTTTCACGTTGTAATTATCTAGCTCATCTGACCGAAGATAAAGGCTGGGCCATCTAGCGCGATCATCCGAGGAAGCAACCCTCTTTTCACCCGGCGGCCTCAGACAAAGGTCCAGGAGGTGTCGTGTCCCGGGGCCAAGGAGCCCTCCCTCTGCGAGCGGCTCCGCCTCTCCGGTAGGAAACGCAGCGCGCCCTCTTGTGGTAGAACATAGTATGTTCCATCCTGGGCCTGGGTTTGGGTCCGGACCGCGACTCGGATGTTTTGCTCTTCGTTGGTTCAGTCTCAGTCCGGCTCTTACCGAGCGCCTCACATGTGCTAGAAACAGAAAGCACAGAAAGGCTCAAGACTAGGCCTTTTCCACGGATCATTTCGTTTCTCAGTTTGAGAGATGACTCAATAATTACAGCAGAATGTGTCTGTAGCCAGTGCAGAGCAAGGCTTTGCCATGGAAGGGACTCTTAGCAGAATGATTAATAAGCTAGGCGCTAGGCACTGTTTATGTGCATTATCTCCATTCTCAAGAAAAACCTATTGCACTATTATTATCTCCATTTCGTAGATAAGAAAACGGACATTCGGGGATCTTCACTGCAAATCTGACCTCCCTACCTCCCTGCACACAGGCTCTCCACTTTTACTGGAGCCTTTCCAGTTGTTGTATGATTAACTTTGGGGTAATTCTCCAGCCTCTTCTCTCTTCATTTCCCTGCTTGATTCCCAGCCAAACCTATCTGCTTCCCTGAACTGCCCGCTAAGCTGTAAGCCATTGCAAATGCTGTCTTCTGTCTGCATCATCCTTTCTTCTCATCTTTACCTACCCACTTTTTGGATCCAAGCTGCTTAGTCAACCCTTTCTCCTGGAAACCCTCCCTGACCCTCCCAAGCTCCCTCCAAGGGTTCCTTAGAGTTCCTGATATGAGCACACTGTTAGCGCTTATCACACAGAGTGGCCGTTGCTGACTCACCCGTCTTCACCACTAGACTTTAAACCCCAGGAGGGCAGAGTTTGTGTCTGGCATATTCACTGCTTCCTCTCCAGCACCAGGCACAGTGCCTGGGAAGATAGGGTGAGAAAGGAAGGTGAAGTCAGGGAGACATGCCACAGATGCCAGAGAGGACCATCAAACCTCTACTGGGCTAATAATTAAGAAGTGACTGGTGATCTTGGCGAGTAGTCTTCAAGTGCCTGGAAGAATATATGCACATTATCTATAAAAAAGCCAGCCCAGCCTCAGGGCGCAGGTGGTAGTATTCTGAACTGCAGTGCTGGAAACCACATGGCCACCATGGATTTGGATGCTGAGTTGACCTGAAACACCCTGAGTGCATGCGTGCCCGTGATCCTGAGGTGCTGGAGGGCTGGGGGAAGGGAGTCAAGTTATGATGGGCCCCTGTCTAGAATGTTTCTTTCCCACATGCGCACCTGTGTGCACCTACACATGCTCTCAGATGAACAAAATAAACTTTAGAAAAGAAAAAGCCTAACCTTGTGCCTAGCAATAAATGACAGCTGTTACTATTATTGTAAAAATTAAAGTAACAGAGGGACCAGCAGTTAGTGTAATGGCTATGTCGCCGGACTCGCATGTAGTCGACCATGGTTCGAGTCCTGGATCCGGTGGCTTAAACTCACGCCAGGCACATGTGCATGCATGCCCAAGATCCCAAGAGGAGAATAGAGGAGAAGGGATTGTGGCATGGCCATCCCCCCGGGGGGGGTGATTTCTCGCTTTCTATCTCTCTGTCTCTCTCTCTGTCTTTCTGGTGAACGCACGCGTCCTATAGCAAAAAAAAAAAAAAAAGTAACATAAAGTCATGACCTCTGAGGTTGTAGGTGTAGGAGAGGGAATGAGATTTCCCATGATCCTCCCCCGAGAGCTGGATTTTCATTTGTGGGCTCTGCACTTAGATGGAAATTCCCTCTGCAGAGGTTGCTGCAGGATGGTACTGGTGCGGTGTGATGCAGTGCATCAGTCAGGTTAGGTTAGGTGATGCTGCAGTAACAACAACGAACAGCCCCGATCTCCACATGTCTCACTATATGCACGGCATGGATTGGTGGGGGCTCTTAGGGACTCAGGTTGACAGATGCTTTATCTCAACACAGGCTTCCACGGCAACAGAGGCAGAGAAAAGAACTGAGAGGGTTTCACACCAGCAACAAAACGTTTCAACCTGGCAGTGAATAATTTTCCTCTAACTCACAACTCATTGACCAGAATTAGCCACATGGCCTCATCCGACAAGCAGGGCCCAGGAAATGCTCTCCCACCATGTATCCAGAAGGGGAAGAATCACCTTAATGAATCTTTTATCAGTGAGGGAAGAGCTGCGACCCTCTTCTAGAACAGACTTTGGAGGTGCTGCAGCTCTAAGGAGCTCGGTGTTGCAGATGGTCTTTTTTTTTTTTTTTTTTTTTTTTTTTTTTTTTTTTTTTTTTTTTCCGATTTTTTTACCATGGGGACCAATTATAGGGCGCATGCACTCGCCAGAAAGACAGAGAGAGACAGACAGAAAGTGAGAAATCACCCTATCCCACCTTCAGGGAGGATGGCCATGCTGCAGTCCCTTCTCCTCCATTCTTCTCTCTGGATCTTGAGCATGCACGCACATACACCCGGCATGAGTTTAAATCACCAGGTCCGGGACTCCAACCGCGGTCGACTTCGTGGGAGTCCAGCGACATAGCCATTACGCCACCTGCTGGTCCCAGCGGAGGGTCCTTTTATAGTGGGCTTTGCTGTATTTCTACCAGTGACACTTCTTTCATGACATGTAGCTGCATTAGTCCTGACTTCTTAGTCTCCTGTGTATGTGTGTGTGTCTGCTCTCATCTGAGCAGCAGCTCTCAGGAGTGTAGGGGCTGAGCCTCTGAAGCCCACTTCATCTTAGCAGGAGGTGGCTCTAAGAACAGCACTGAACTGGGCTGAGCTGTGTTCAGCCTGAGCTGGGCTTGGACCACCCACCTGTGGTGTTCGTCCCAAAGTGCATCCCAGACTCTTGGTAAAAGTGGGGTTCCCCAGTCATTGATCATTGAGTTCTGAGAGATTGACAGTTCTGAGTCAGTGATGGGGGCTTTGGGAGAATTAACATTCCACTGCCAATCATCCTGGGAAGGGGCAAATCCCAGCCCAGAAGAAGAGGGGTCGTTTCCCAGAGAGTTGGGTCTCAGGACAGTATCCGGAGGGAGAGCAGGGTACACAGCTGGCACAGGGAGGGGGCTGGGAGACCCCCAGGCAGAGGTCAGGAGGAGCCCCCCAGAAGCCTTGGTCTGCAGGCTCTGAGAGGAGCCAAATCTGGACCTGCACTAGGCTTCTTGGGTAGTCATTTCCAGCCTTCAGTGAAGTCTCGAGGTCACAGCCTCAGGGAAAATTAACAGAAGGACCTGTGTCACAATTTAGGTCAAAGAAGTCACAAAGAAAACAGCCTGTTCCCCAGGCCAGCGTTGGCGGAGAAGCTGGTGCAGAGGAGGAAGCTACTCCAGAAACCCCAGGAAGTGGAGGGATGCAACGGGCTAGATCCCAGTGATGTGGCCACGTGGCCACGTATCTCAGTGCCACGTAAGCTCAGTACCGAAACCCCCTCAGGAGCTTCCAAACCACTAGGCCTCCAGGGAATCCTGCCCAGAGGCTGGGGAGTAGACACTGACCTTTCAGTCTTTGAAACCCTGGGTCACTGCCTCACCTTCGATCTCATCATCATGGTATTTAGGAGTGTCGGTGTGGAAACTGAGGCCAAAAACCGTGGCTTGATCTGAATCGGGCGGCTGGCTGAGGGCACTGGTCCCTCTGCCTTTACACACCCAGCCTCCTCCACTGTCACCAGGACTAGTCCTACAGCAAGGTGCCTTCTGCCTGTCCCCACCCTTCCCCTGCCCCTGCGGCGCTTCTCCTTTTCTGCCTGTCCCCACCCTTCCCCTGCCCCTGCAGCCCTTCTTCTTCCTCCCAGGGCCAGCACACTGTCCTCCAAGAAGCCCTTTTGGATTCCATCTGGTCTGCTCAGGTCGTTGTCCTTTTCCTGCATTCTAGGTTTCCATTATGTGTCTCTGACCACCCTTGGATGGGGCATCTCTGAGAGCAGGGGCTGCTATCTCCTCCACAGACCTTCACTCTCCACCCTCAAGACGCCAGCACCCAACTGCCCGCCCAGGGGTCTTTGCGTCATCATCCATGCAGCTCGGTGAGGGGAGGGGTGGAGGGAGGCAGACGCAGCAGGTACAAACCGGGAGCTGTTTATTGGTTGCC